GGGGGGTACCTTAATCATCGGGGTCCCGATTATCAGGGAATCCTACTATTTGGGATCTTTCTTTAGGGGCCCCCCATTTTCGTAAAGCCCCAACCAAATACTTGGTAAAAGGTAGGGGGGGTGCCCTTTACCTTAACCCAAAACAGGGCACACTTATTATAAGATGGCTACTGGAGCCCAGCTTTTCGTGCTGGTGGTGTTGTGTTCAGGCGACGTGGGGATGTTGGGGCCGGGGGCGGGGGGGGTCTTGATGCCCCTTTGGAATCAAGCCTTCTTGCTTCGTAGTGAATAACTGCGTGGCACAAGGCATGTCAGACATCGCTGACCTACACACCGCATCGATGTGACGGGAGGGTTTAGGGTAGGGTTTATGGTTTGGGGTCTAGTGTTTAGGGCAATGTCAGGGGTCAGACATTGAATAAAGCCATGAACGCAGCGATCGGCTTGTTCGTCTCTGCAACCTCGAAAGCAGCGGATGAGAGTTTAGATGTTTCCTTGAGCAACATCAACATCACACACCATACTGCGCAGAAGTAGCAACATCACAACAACCAACACGAGGCAACAACAAATGTGTACCCCTCAACCCTACACCCTAAACCCCTAAACCCCAAACCCTAAACCATAAAACCATAAAACCATAAACCCTAAACCCCAACAGCAGTGCTTGCTGTGCAGTCCTGCATCCTCCACTCCCCCCTACAACTTGGGGACCAAATGAACCCTAAAATGGGGATGATAGACCCTATACTGGTATAATCCCTATACTGGTATAATCCCTATACTGGTACAATCCCTAGTAGGGTATATGAACCATAAACTCTTTTAGGGTTGCTTGGTCCTCAAGGTAGAACCTTAACCCTAAACCCTAAACCCTACACCCTAAACCCTAAACCCTAAACCCTACACCCTAAACCCTAAACCCTAAACCCTAAACCCTAAACCCCGTTCAATCCTCAAAAAAGGGAACTCCGGGAGCATCGTGACCAGACGCTTGGTAGTGCGGTGGTACCCTGTACCCTTGTTTGCGGTTCTCTTGTAAGGTAACCAAGCCAACAAAAAGGTTTAGGGTTCAGGGTTTAAGGTTTAGGGTTTAGGGTTTAGGGCTTAGGGTTTGGGGTAGTTTAGGGCTACCCTTGTATTAAGATGCTTACTGGGCTACCAAGAATAGGGTCAACAAAAAAGCAAATGTACCCAAGCCCCCAAAAAGGGCACCCTTGTTATGAGATGGTTATAGCCCTTATTTGGGAAACCCCTTTAGTGAAGCTCTCAGGCCAGCCCTAGAAACCTCCATCTGGCGATCTTTTGGCTCAAACCCTAAACCCTAAACCCTAAACCCTATACCCTAAACCCTAAACCCTAAACCCTAAACCCTAAACCTTAAACCCTAAACCGCAGCTCTGCCAATGCAGGCCTCGGCGGCTCGACCACCGCCTCCCCCACCTCCGCCAGCAGGCTGGAAGTTCGGTTAGGGTTTAGGGTTATAGGTTTAGGGTTTAGGGTTTAGGGTTTAGGGTTTAGGGTGGAGGGTTTAGGGTACAAGGTATAGGGTGTAGGGCTACAAGACTGTAGAATGTGGCAGGACTTCGGAACATTGCTGTCGGATCGAGTCTTAAGAGGACCATCTTCACCAATGTCTGTTCAGAGGCGAGGGTTGCAAGAGACTACCTAAACCCTTAACGCTAAACCCTAAACCCTAAACCCGAAACCCGAGCCCTAAACCCTAGCCCTGAACCCTAAACCCTAAACCCTAGGGTTTAGGGTTTGAGATTTCAACTCCACGGCCCGGCCCCCCAAAGGCACATTTGATGCCGCGCCACGAAGGCCCTCGGTAACAGCCGAGCCGCTTGGCGTGTAGGGTTTAGGGTTTAGGGTTTAGGGTTTAGGGTTTAGGGTTTAGGGTTTACAGTTCATAGGGCCCATGGGGATTATAGGTTTATTGCAGGGTTTATAGGTCTTTTCGGGTTTTTGGGTTTTCCGGGTTTTGAGGGTTTTCAAGGGTTTAGGGTTTATAGGGTTTAGTGTTCAGGTTTTGGGTTCGGGGTTTAGGGCTTTTTGGGTTCGGGGTTTGGGGTTCAGGGTGCCACGTTGAACCTTTAACCCCTATACCCAGTTTTTAGTTGCGCATGCCGAATGTATCATAGGCTGCGTTCAACACGCCTGTTAAAGCCCAAAAGTCCTAAGCTTCGGCCCTAGAGACTACTTGAATGTTCATAGGTAGTTGTCCGGGCTTGGGGTCTAGGGCCAAGGAGGTTGTGGCGGCTTTCAAAGAGGCTGCTTGAAGGTTCATGGAGAGTTCTAAGTGCACAGTGCCCCCGCTTAGAAACAGAACTCTATCTACCTCTTACGACGGAATCCCTAAACCCTAAACCCTAAACCCATCTAAACCGAAAACCCTAAACCCTAAACCCTAAACCCCAAACCCTAAACCCTAAACCCTAAAGCCAATGGTCCATTCAGAACCAGCCCATAACACTGCACGTCTTGGCTTCGCAGACGCTTGCCCGAGAGCAGGAGGAGCTCCGAAACCACACCCCCCCTCCCGCCTCTTCGCCTCAACCCTGCCTTAAGAGCCCAGGTTCTAAGAATAGATCCCTTCATGGAATTCTTAGGAACCCCTACAAGAAAGTAGGGTTTTGCGGGGGGTTCTTAAGGTGATAGATCCCCATATAGAATTCTTAGGAACCCCTTCAAAGAAGTAGGTTTTGGGGGTTCTTAGAAGGTAAACACCCTAAACCCTAAACCGTAAACCCTAAACCCTAAACCCTAAACCCTACACCCTAAACCCTAAACCCTAAACCCTAAACCCTAAACCCTAACCCCTAAACCCTAAACCCTAAACCCTAAACCCTAAACCCTAACCCTTGCAACCCCCTTCCCCTTAAGGCAACTCCAGCAGCGTGTTGCGCACATCCGCGACGACCTCTTTCGTCCAGTCCGTGAGGCGCAGGGGGTTTAGGTTTTAGGGTTTAGGGTTCAGGGTTTAGGGTTTTATAAGGGAACTCAAGGGTTTATTTGGGGGGTCATTTAGGGGCCACTTCTTAGGTCTATAGGGACTATAGAAAAGGTATATACACCGGTTATTTGGGAGAATAAGATTAAGGGTCCCTTCTAGGGGTCCCTCCTTATACCCCTTAAGAGGCGCAGGGACTCAGCCAAGGCTTAAAAACAAAGGCTCTAGGACTAGCGGTTCAGGGTTTTAGGGTTCTAGGGTTTTCGGGTTTTTTAGGGGTTCAGGGTTTTAGGACTTTTCGGGTTTCAGGTTTTAGGGCTTTGGTTTGTGAGGGCTTAGGATGTAGGGTTCTAGGATTCCCCTCCCGAGTTCTAGGGCCATTATGTGGATTTTCTGGGCCCCAATGCCCTGAAAAGCATGGGAAGGTGCTAAGTACAGGCATGAGCATTATTATGTGATTTCGAAAAATGTGAATGCTTTTTATATGATACCATGGTACAGTTCTTTTTTTCGTTATGACATTATGATATCATGATAATATCAGTATCATGCCATCCAGAATCTTATGACTGATCTTCTGATTCTAGGACCCTAAACCCTAAACCCGGATCTAGAATTAGTATAGTGTGTAAGAAAGTCTTATGACTGATCTTCTGATTTCATGATCAGGTACTGGAGAACGCGAGCTCAGATGAGCTTACTCCCATCGTGGACGCCCGGTCATGGGTTCAGGGTGGGAGGGATCAACCAGGCTTTTAGGATTTAGGGTTCAGGGTTTGGGGCTTTTGTGCAGTTCAATCTTCCTTTGGGGGAAATTCCGTGTTCAGTTGTTCGGTTGGAGATTTGGAACCCTACACCCTTTACCTAAGTAGGAAGCCCTAAACCCTAAACCTTAAACCTTAAACCCCAACCCCCATCTTTTTTTTTTTTTTTGGGGGGGGGGGTGGGGTTTGAGTTGGGGATCCGAAACTCAGGTGCTTTTGGGCGGCTTCCTTGCCTTTTCAGGGCTCGCATGAAATCATAAGGGCAGGCCTGAAGCCGGTAAAGCCTCAGAGTCTCAGGAGGACTCCTTAGCCCCTAGAGGTCCTTGGCTTGGGTTTAGGGTTTGGCGTTTAGGGGTTTAGGGTTCAAGGTTGAGGGTTTCGGGTTTAGGGTTTAGGGGGGTCCACTGTTCAGGGTTCAGGGTTTAGGGTCTAGGCGTCGCCCTGGGTTGAGGGAGGATTGAGGGTTCAGGGTCTAGGGTAAGTTTGCGTCCGAGAAATGACAAGCCCGCTAAGGACATGCTGCTGGAGGAGGCGGGGCTCTAAAGCCCTAAAGCACTCCTAAAGTTGGGATGTTCCCCCACCTATACTAACAGTCCTTCATAGGGATTATACTACCCCCCATATTCATCCCTATTCGGCCCAATTAAGGACTGTTAGACTTAAGGGGAACAATCCCAACCCTAAACCCAAAATGACCGTATTCCTTCCAGCAGTTGACGGTAGCACAAACCTTCAGGACCAAACACGTCCTACGATTGGGATCATCTACCCAGTGCTAGCTACAACCCTGTATTGTCTTGCCACTACTTCAATATCTGAACATCGCATGTCATGGCATCCTGCAAGTTGCGGGTTATGTGTTGACTTGAGTTCGCTTTGAGCCGCACGCTCATTGCACAGCTTTCTCAGGGTTCAAAGCGCCACCCCCAACACTAACCCTAAACCCTAAACCATATTCCCTAAACCCTAAACCCGAAAACCCAAAAACCCTAAACCCTGAATCCTACTTCCTCCTAAGGCTGCGGCTTGCATGTCTCGCCATCCATCGAAGTGGCCGGTAAAAATGCCATCAGTACTCATGTGGGGCCTTGAGGTGTAGCTTGCCTCAAACAGAAAACATGCAATCGGCTACCCCCCGGTTGAGGTTCACGGGTTTAGGGTTTAGGGCTAGGGTTTAGGGTTTTCCTAACCCCTTTTGGGGGGTTGAGGTTCACGGGTCTTGGGCTTCATGACCTTCTGGTGTGCCGGAGTTTAGGGAGTGTCGCGCGTAGGCAAATGCGGGAATGGCGCAACTGCAGCAGCAGGCCATGGATGGGGTTTTAGGGTTTTAGGGTTTACGGTTTAGGGTTAGGCTGAACTAAGCCCTGTAGACCCTGAGCCATGCACGCGAATTGGTGTGATGTTAAATGCTTTACCCTAAGCCCCGCATCTGTTTTCGCCATAAATGCCCGAACCCAGACACCCTAAGCCCGACAAGCCCAAAAGCCAATTCCTAAACCCTAGACCTTAAACCCAAAGCCCCAAAACCCTAGACACCCTAAGCCGCATAAGCCGCAAACCCCAAACCATACCGTAAAACCCCCCAAACCCCAAGACCCTAAATCCTCTCCGAACCCTGGACATCCTAAACCCTAAACCCTAAACCCTAAACCCTAAACCCTAAACCCTAAACCCTAAACCCTAAACCCTAAACCCTAAACCCTACATAAAGCCCTAGAAGTCGATTTCAGACCCTGCCATCCCACGCCTGAAGCCTTGGCCCACGCCGCGGAAACAGCGGATCCCGAAGCCCTCAAGCCAAGGAAGCTTTGCAACAGGGTTTAGGGTTTAGGGTTTAGGGTTTAAGGTTTAGGGTTTAGGGTTTAGGGTTGAGGGTTTAGGGTTTAGGGTTTAGGCTGTTGGGGTTTGGGGTTTCGGGTTGAGGGGGAAGTTCTCGCGGTTGTAGTACAAGGAGGGCCCCTCTTACTACACTAACGGTAGTTCAAGGCCTTCTAGCCTACGCTAGGAGCTTGAAGACCCCATTTAGGGTCCTTATAATATACTTAGAAACTAAGCCCCTCCAGGTAGGGACCAGGGTGCAAGTCTGCAAGAATATCCGGGCAAGGATTTTGGCTTAGGGTGAATGGGCCTTTGGGCTTTGAGTGGTTGAGGCTGTGGCAGGGGGATCTTAGTCCCCTAACCCCTGAACCCTGGACCGCACAACTTTCAATCAACAGGTTGAGGCTCGGGGGTGAAGGAGCTTTGTTTGATAACGCTTATATAGCTTAGTGGTACCCTTTACCCTTTGTTGTTGGTTCCGGGTTCCCGTCTAAAAGTAGCCAACCCCCCAAGAGGGTACCCTTCTTATAAGATGGCTGCAAACCCTAAACCTAAACACTAAACCTCAAACCCTAAACCCCAAACCTCAAACCCTAAACCCTAAACCCTAAACCCTAAACCCAAGAAGATGGAGGTTCCAGTGTTCTTTTGTAAGTGACCAGCCCTGCAGGCCTAGGAGCTTTCAGGGGTTAAGGCCCTACCCTGGACCCCTGAAGTATGTGCCAAGATCGCCAAAACAAAACATCAACAGGACCATTCTTTTACCTACTTTGGGGGGTGGGGTGGGGGGGGGGGGGGGGGGGGGGGGGGGGGGGGGGGGGGTGGCGGTTAGGAAAACCCTAAACCCTAGCCCTAAACCCTAAACCCGAAACCCGAAACTGGGGGTTGGGGGCTTTAGATGGGTCTGGATGAGGTGGAGGTCTGCATCATGGAAGAGCGCTTTGATGTACTGGAGGCACTGGGGGAGCTGTTGCAACACCCTAAACCCTAAAAGGGATCCGAAGTATGGGCCCTGTTATGTGTAGTGTATATGTGGGCTATGCAACAGGGGAACCAAATTCAGGGCCCATACTTCGGGTCCTCTATGATGCCTTGTGGGCCCCACAACCCTAAACCCTAAACCCTAAACCCTAAACCCTAAACCCTAAACCCTAAACCCTAAACCCTAAACCCTAAACCCTAAACCCTAAACCCTAAACCGAGAGAAGCCACAGCCTGAAGCTCTTTTGAGGAGATATCGACTCTGGCCTCACAACACCAGGCTCGGTCGGCTCTCTGAGGGCTTAAGGCTCTTCAGGTTTTGGGGTTTAGGGTTTAGGGTTTAGGGTTTTGGGTTTGGGGTTTAGGGTTTAGGGTTTAGGGTTTAGGGTTTAGGGTTTGGGGTTTAGGGTTTAGGGTTGGGGGGATGTGCCTTTCTGGGCTTTGGAATGGAAGGGCGTAAAGGGCCAAGGGCTTAAAGGGCGCCTAGCACGCATGGGGTTCAGGGCTTGTGGTTCGGGGGTTGGGGCCTAAACCCCAAAACCCCACACCCCCAACCCCGAACCCTTGAAGTGCACGGGCTTCAATATCGGGGCAGCTTTGAGGGATGGTTTAGGGTTTAGGGTTTAGGGTTTAGGGTTTAGGGTTTAGGGTTTAGGGTTTAGGGTTTAGGGTTTAGGGTTTAGGGTTTAGGGTTTAGGGATATATTGACCCAAGCCCTCTAGCAAGCTACTCGTTGTCACAGTACTTCCACCTTTACACCCTGCAAGCCTCAACTCCGCCAACTCCCTAGCCCTAAACCCTAAAGCCTAAACCCTTCTACTCTAAGGGTAGTTACATGGTCCCTTCATGTCGTCCCTTACCTCTTTTAAAGGGTTCCGAAGTATGGACCCTTCTATAGGGTTTTGAAGGGGTATATAACCGTATATAATACCCAGCTAAGGGCCCATACTAAGGGACCACGGAGCTACCCTAAGATCTAGTCCACCCAAAGGCTCGTGTGCAGTACCTTCTTGGGGTAGTATGCTAGAATCCACCCTAAACCCTAAACCCTAAACCCGAAACCCTAAACCCTATAAACCCTATAAACCCTATAAACCCTATAAACCCTATAAACCCTATAAACCCTATAAACCCTATAAACCCTATAAACCCTATAAAACCTATAAACCCTATAAACCCTATAAACCCTATAAACCCTATAAACCCTATAAACCCTATAAACCCTATAAACCCTATAAACCCTATAAACCCTATAAACCCTATAAACCCTATGAACCCTATAAACCCTATAAACCCTATGAACCCTATAAACCCTATAAACCCTAAACATTATATCCCAAAAAAGGAGCTACATTGGAGCCTTCGGGCAAACCTTTCTCAGCCCAAAGCCTCACTCCCCGACACCCGCAGCGAAGACCCAACGACTTGCAGGAGCTGCAACAGCTTGCAGAGTCCTGGAAAACCTCCGGCCAGGCCTTCGAGAGCAGTTGAACGAAGGATCAGTGTCTAAGGCTTAAACCTCAATACAATGGACTGTTAGAAGGTCGAGAATTTGGGGTGAGAATACCTACTGCAAAATCCTTGCAGTTGTCCAGAAGGAACCCCCCCTTAAATTCACTCCAAGCCACCCTACACACAGCCCTGAAGCTGTGTCGCCCTCAGCCCTATAGTGTAAGTAGAGTTGTAAGGGCCCAAAAGTCATAAACGCTTTTTTGCTTCGGTGAGAAGCCTTATCGGTGTGTAGCTAGCACAGCAAAACGGCCATCCTTGTAGCCCCACTTCACAGGCCCTGCCCACCCCCCCCCCCCCCCCACCCCAAAAACCCAAGCCCTAAACCCTAAATCCGTATCCCCCTCGCCCCCTGTAAGCTAAGCCAAGATGGTGACTTCTCTAAAATATGACCCCTGGTAGGACGCTACTATAAGGACCCTAATTTTTTCAGGGTACCCGAAAAAGGCACCGTAACTCTGAGAAGCGACCAGATGTATGCCTTCGATCCTAGTGCTTGAGCTCCCTACCCTGAACCCCTATATCGAACCTGCCAATTCCTAAAAACTCCATGCCCTAAACCCTACAAACCTGCAAACCTGAAGACCCCCTAAACCCGTCAAAACCCCCGGAACCCCCCGGAAACGCCCCTTAAAACCCCCTAAACCTAGCCCTAAACCCTAAACCCTAAACCCTAAACCCTAAACCCTAACCCCTAACCCCTAACCCCTAACCCCCCTAAACCCCCCTAAACCCCCCTAAACCCCCCTAAACCCCCTTAACCCCCCTCAACCCCTTCAGGGCCTGGGCCCGGCCTACTCGGCTGGCATCCAGCGCTTCGAGGAACTGTCCCCCGAGGCCCAGGAGGCCTGTTCTTACGGTTTAGGATTTAGGGTGAGGGTTTGGGGTTTAGGGTTTAGGGTTTAGGGTTTAGGGTTTAGGGTTTAGGGTATAAGGGTTAGGGTTTAGGGTTCGGGTCTAGGGTACAGGGTTTAGGGTTCGGGTCTAGGGTACAGGGTTTAGGGTTAGGGTTTTGGGTTTAGGGTTTAGGCTGCTCAGTATTTAAGGATTTCGTTTTGGTGGGGGGGAGGAGAGGAGGTAGTATCTGTAGGACTTAGGTAAGTTTAAAGTGTGTTTCAGGCTTCAGTGACTGTGGGATGGTCGTGTTCTTCGGGTTTGAGGGGAAAATCGCGAGGGAGACTTATGATTTCTTGGGAAGTCAGGGCTTAGGGGAGGGTTTAGGGTTTAGGGTTTAGGGTTTAGGGTTTAGGGTTTAGGGTTTAGGCTTTAGGGTTTCAGGGGACGATGCGGGGATGGAGATTTAAGGTTTTAGCGAGTTTATGGTAGCCAGTTGTGCTCCACAAAGTACTGCTAGAAGCCTTTATGTCCGCTGCTCCCAGTGCGGCAGCAGACATGCGGCCGTCTCAAGGGCGGCGCATGAAGCCCTTAACCCCAAACCCTAGCCCTAAACCCTAAACCCTAGCCCTAAACCCTAAACCCTAGCCCTAAACCCTAAACCCTAGCCCTAAACCCTAAACCCTAATTCAACCCTAAACCCTAAACCCTCACCCTAAACCCCAAACCCTAAACAAGCCACACATGAACCCGAATGACAGGAGGCCCAGGAGGCGTGGCTACGACAGGCCAGCGGCCCCTGGAAAGTCTTCGTTGCAGCTTTGTTGTGTTAACGATGGTCTCCTCAAGACTCACAAAGGTGTTCAGGGTTGAGGGTTGAGGGTTTAGGGCTTGATTAGGGTTTAGGGTTTAGGGTTTAGGGTTTGGGATTTAGGGCTCAGGGGTTTTTCAAAACGGAAGGGATGATATCCTCGGTTGCTAATGTTAGGGTCCCTTTAATAACCCCCCCCCCCCCCCAAATCTTGTTTTGGTCCCCGGGGTTTGGAGGGGTGGAAAAACAGACGGGGTGCCAATGATCAATTCTGGGGGTCTGGGGGTCTGGGGGTCTGGGCGGGGGTCAGCTGTCAGGGTCTGCTTTGCTTTGTCTTGAAGGCTTCTGCTTCGAAGACAAGCACTCTCAAACGAGATCTGCTTCTCTAAAGACTGAGCCTCGGAGCTCTTTCAAGCCAGCTCAGCTGAAAAGTCTTCTCTGCAATGGAACTCTTAAGCGATTCTCAGTAAAATTTTCAATTCCAGGCCGGAAAAATTTTAGAATTACCACCCTTTCTTATTATCACCGCACCCCCCTATATAGACTTGTTTACATACATCGGCCCGCAAACCTCCCGTAATGGAAAGTAGTCTTCGGCTGGACCCCTCTGGCCCGGCGAATTTTAGTATTACCACCCCATTTATAAATGGGACTCTCACATTAGGCCACGTTTGTGTTGCGATCTGCCTTCAGAGGCAGGAGAAGAGAAAGCATACTTTTGTATTCAGGTTCTCATGGAGTGCCATTACACGGTTTGGAGTTTGTTTCAGTTGGGGTTAGTTTATAGGGTTGGGTGCTTTGGGGGGGGGGGGGGTGTGGGATTGCAATTGAACCTGCCAGATGTTGGGTCTTGTTGCTTTTCAACCCTAAACCCCAAGCCCTGCACCTAGGTTGTAAACCCAAAACCCAAAGCCCAAAGCCCGAAACGTATGCATTGACATCGTGCTCAGGGCTGCAGTTCAGGCTTGTGCCAGTTCGGAAGGGCTTCTTTGCATGCTCAGCTAGCCGAGTGCGCGTTGACAGGAACACCTGCTGCCCTAACCACTAAGCACCAAGCGCTGTAAGACCCCTAAGCCCGAGAGACCCTAAGTAGACATCGTCAAGCCTTAGCCTTGAACCCTTATAGCCTAGACACCCCAAGCCGTAGCCTAGGACCCAGAGTAGGCGCCCATTCCTATTTGTAGGGTTTAGGCTCCTTTCAACCACAAAGGGACCTTTTTTCCTTCCTAGGTTACCCTAAACCCTAGCCCTAAACCCTAAACCCTAAACCCTTTTGACTCCTGGGCCTAGTGGCGTTCAACTCCCACCACAGGAGGACGCCCAACGCCAAGCCGAAGAAGCTCGGCTGCGGGAGCAGGAGGCGCTTGTGCCCCTATCTTGGGAACCCTAAACCCTAAACCCTCAACCCTAAACCCTAAAACCTAAAACCTAAAACCTAAACCGTGAGGGATCATAATCGGGGGTACTATAATCCCGATTTCGGACAGTTAGTATGCCTCTACGCCTTCTAGTCAAGGGTTCAAGGGTTCAAGGGTTCAAGGTCCAAGGGTTTAGGGTTTTTAGGTGCTTGGTAGCCCAGTGGTTCTAAGGGTAGTTTCATGGGCCCCTAATTTAAGGGTTCTGAAGTATGGGCACTGAATTTGTATAGGGTATATAAGGGGTATATAATATAGGTGGTGCCCTTTTAAGGGCCCATACTAAGTTACCCTTTGCCCCTGTTTTCTGGTTCTGGGTTCCCTTATAAAGTAACCAACCACCAAAACGAGGCGTACCCTTGTTACAAGATGGTTAGTGGCTGCCAAGATAGGTTTTCCAGGGACATGCTTATGTTTTGTGGATTTAGGGCTTGGGGAAGGTCCAGGGCTGAGATAAAGTCTATATACAGGGTTCATAGGGTTCAGGGTTTGGGGTTTAGGGTTTGGGGTTTAGGGTTGAGGGTCTAGGGAGTCCAACAAGCACCTAATGTGGTGCCTAGATGTTGTGGAGCCTCAGAACTGTTCAGCCGTCAGCCTAGGTCCCTCAGCCCCAAGTTATTGGCTCTAACACCACTTCTAGGTTTAGGGTTTAGGGGCTGTCCAAACTAACCAAACCCCCTAGAAATGAGGACCCAACAGCTCGCAGTCATACAACGCAGTCCGGCTATGAGTCCATGTATTTGTGGCGGGGCTTTTGGTAGCCAAGCGGTCCTCACAAAGCAGGGTGTAGGGTCTGGATGGAGGGCACAAACCCTCTATATAAGCCCTAAACAGGAGCTCCTAGCCCTCCCCACGCTTGAGGGCTTAGGGTTTAGGATTTCCCAAAAGCCCCGAGCTTTGAGGAGCTATGAACCCAGCAGTCATGATCGTGTCACCTGTACTTCTATAGTCTCGATCAACGCCTTGCATGGTCCACAGGTCCATAGACAGCACCGCGGGGGCGCTTTCAGCATGCGCTTACGTACCCTGAAGCCTAAACCCTGAACCCTAAACCCTAAACCCTAAACCCTAAACCCTAAACCCTAAGCCTAAACCCTAAACCCTGAACCCTGAACCCTGAACCCTGAACCCTGAACCCTAAACCCTAAACCCTAAACCCAAAGTTTTGTGGTTCAAACGCCGCTCCCTGGATCAGGAGGCCCAGCAACGATGGCTCGCGGAGCAGGACCAAATGCACCCCCAAAAGGTTTTACGGTCGTAGACCTTAATCGGAGTTCTACCGCTACTTGCTTAGGAACAACCCAAACATGACCAAAAGATCTTTGACCAACCCTGTCTCTCTAAGGGCAATGTATGGATTAGTATTCTTTCTTCTTTGGGGGGGGGGAGGTTCTCAATTAATTATAGAGTCTGTAAGGGAGGGGGGGTTCATGTGAGGTAGGTACCTAGGGAACCTTAGGGAAGCTTGGGGAGCCTTAGGGAGTGGGGAGTCTTAGCAAACCCTGGGTTACGTACCCTAAAAAACCCTAAACCCTAAACCCCCCCGACCGCCGAGCTTAGGGTTCCTTTGGTGCCCATGGAAGGATCCTAGGGATGGACTTCGTGGGGATTAGGGCTTAGGGTTGAGTGTTGAGGGTGAGGGTTTAGGGTTAAGGGTTTAGGGTTTAGGGTGTAGGGTGTAGGGTGTAGCGTGTAGGGTTTAGGGTGTAGGGTTTAGGGTTAGGGTTTAGGGTTTAGGGTTTAGGGTTTAGGGTTTAGGGTTTAGGGTTTAGGGTTTAGGGTTTAGGGTTTAGGGTTCAGGGTTCAGGGATGTTAAATGCGCCCCGGGCCTGGGCAGGCGGAGGCCCAGCGCCGGCTGGCCGAAGAGCAGGAGGACGGCGTAGATTTGGGGGGTTTAGAGCGTTTGGAGGGTTTGGAGGGTTTAGAGGGTTTAGTTTAGGGTTTAGGGTTTAGGGTTAGAGGGTTTGGAGGGTTTAGAGGGTTTAGAGGGTTTAGAGGGTTTAGGGAGGGTTTAGAGGGTTTGGAGGGTTTGGAGGGTTTAGAGGGTTTGGAGGGTTTAGAGGGTTTGGAGGGTTCAGAGGGTTTAGAGGGTTTGGAGGGTTTAGAGGGTTTGGAGGTTGAGGGTTCAAGTACATTACCGGGTTTAGGGTTTGGAGCGTGTTGAGGGTTTCAGAGGGTTTAGAGGGTTTCAGAGGGCTTCACAGAGTTTCAGAGGGTTCAGAGGGGTTTTAGGGTTTTAGAGGGTTGCAGGGGTTTACAGGGTGTAAAGGGTGTACAGGGTTTAGGGCTTCAGGTTTGTGCTTTAGGGTTTAGAGGGCTTGGGGTTTGGGTCCGGGGAAAGTTTCGTGGAGTTTTTCCAGCAAGTTTTTTTGACTCGAATTATTTCAAGTGTCAGGGGCTTGAGGGCTTAGGGTTTCATGCTTTCGGGGTTCGGCCCCAAACGCTTTGGTGTTTTTGGGGTAGGACGTTGGGCTTGTAGGGTTTAGGTTTCAGGCACCTCACCCTACACCTTAAACCCTATAAACCCTAAACTAGTTGAGGCACCTCAACCTTGCAGATGGGGGATCAGGACCTAAACCCTCAGTCCTAAGCCCTAAACCTGACATTGATAGGGAGGCCCGTCATACTGCTTTAGGGGGAGGAAAAGTCTCCCAACTAATGTAGGGGTCGGAATAAGTACTCATATAGTACTCTTGACTCATGGTTCTTATGTGATGCTATATAATCGCCGCCCAAACCCTATTCTAATTCTTAAGGCCCCTATGTTACATACTATTTCGGGGTTTTTTACTCTGCAATTTTTGAGCCTCATGCAAGCTGCTGCTACGTAGAGCTTCGGGGGTTGCTGGTAAAGCGCCTGGTGGCTTCTCTCTAGCTATGACCGGGCTCTCACGTTCAGGGTGCAAAGTTTTGGTTCAGGGTGGGTAACCCACTAGCATCCCTGTGCTTTTGGCAAGCAGAATGTTATTTGAAGTAACCTTGCGCCGTAAACGTACCCTCCAGGCGCAAGTACCTTATGTCTGAAGCTGTATAAAGATTACTCTAGGTTATGAATTACTCAGGGTCCTTCCAAAAGCTTGCGCAGATTCACGCGAAGCTAAATGTCGAGTCGGAACCTAATCAAGAAGCCGGCGCATGTTGGCTCGCAGGGCGTATTCCCTTACACTCTAAACCCTCAACCCTAAAACGCCCGGGAAACTCAAGTCGAGTGTTTCGGACTCAATTAGGGTTTGAGTTTCGGCTTGGTTTGAGTTAAGCCCAAGCCTTCTGTTTGGGCTTCCTGCTATGGCTCCGTTGGAGGGGTCAGCTTCCCTTAAAGGTGCACCAAACCCTGAACCCCTTTAAAGCCCCAAACGCAGCCTCGACGCTGGTTCAGGGTTTAGGGTTCAGGGTTCAGGGTTTAGGGTTTCAGGTTTAGGGTTTAGGGTTTAGGGCGTCTCCCCCTGAACCCTTAACTTAAGAACATCTTTGCCGACGTGGTCCGGACGACGCAAGCGATGTGGCCGCCTGGCTTTGCGCTTCTCACACCTTTGGCCCTACGCATGCCGGTGGCGCAAGGTGAGCCCCACACCTACACCCCCCAAAAAACCTTAAAGACCCCGAACCCTCGAAAGACACCCTCAGAACCCTAAAAAACCCAAAATTTAGCAAACCCCCCGAAACCCAAAACACAACATTAAAATTTCACTAATATCCAGACACCCTAGAGCCTGCACCCAGTGGGAGTTCAGAGTTTAGACCAGCCCTCATCCAGGGCTCGCTCGTTACTGTTTCCATATAAGCCTATGGAGGTCAGGGTTTCAAACATAGCTTGTGTAATTCGACTTAAAACCCTGTTAGGGTTTAGGGTTTAGGGTTTAGGGTTTAGGGTTTAGGGTTTAGGGTTTGGGGTTTAGGGTTTAGGGTGAACACCCCGAAGCCTCACTATCGGTTTAGGGTTTAGGGTGAACACCCCGAAGCCTCACTATCGCCACATTGAGTCGATGATGCAGGCCCAAGTCTCAGCACCTAAGCCCTAAACCCTAAACCCTAAACCCTAAACCCTAAACCCTAAGTCCTATACAACCCCTAGAGGGCGTTGCGGGTTTCGGGTTTCCCCTAAGGGTCCATGTACCTTAGTACTATATAATTGGGGCCCCAAAGTCCCTATATAGGAGGTACTTTAAGGCCCAAGTATTATTGAGGTACATGGACCCCTAAACCCTAAACCCTAAACCCTAAACCCTAAACCCTAAACCCTAAACCCTAAACCCTAAACCCTAAACCCAAGTACTCCCTACATGGACCCTCAGGGTTCAGGCTTAGAGTTTCATGGCTCGGTGTGCCCCCGATCAGTGCCGGAGGTCGGGAAGTACGTCGTCCTGCTGCCTATCCGCGCTTCGAGGTCTCCTCGGTTCCCTAAACCCTAAACCCTAAACCCTGAACCCTGAACCCTGAACCCTAAACCCTGAGAATCCTGCGAAAAAGCCTAGAAGCCCTACAAACCCGCAACGCCAAAAAGCCCCAAGCCGCATGGTTTCAGGTCCTGAAAGCCCTTAACCCCATGCTAAAGCCCTAATCCCAACAATGTTACCCCAAGGGTCTATGTACCTAAACCTAAACGGGGCATACTTGGGCCTTAAAGTACTTCCTACACGGGGACTTTGGGGCTCAGATGTATAACCACAAGGCACATGGACCCTGAGGGTTTTTAAGGCTCCTGAAGCCCTATAAGCTCCAAGACTTATACCCGTAACTATACAAGACTAATCAAGATGTAATATCCCTAAACCCTAAACCCTAAACCCTAAACCCTAAACCCTAAACCCTGAACCCTGAACCCTAAACCCTAAACCCTAAACCCAAGGTACATGGACCCTCAGGGTTTTGGGTTTAGGACGCATCTTGCCTCCGCCTACAACCCTGACACCCTGAGAGCCAGGAGTCAAACAGCTCGAAGTTCGTGAGGGAGGGGAGTTTAGGGTTTAGGGTTTAGGGTTTAGGGTTTAGGGTTTAGGGTTTAGGGTTTAGGGTTTAGGGTTTAGGGTTTAGGGTTTAGGGTTTAGGGGGAGGCACTTCGTAGGGCACCTTAGGCTTGTTTTGTAGAAGCTTTTGGGAGTACTAGGGAGTACTAGGGGAGGTGAGTACTAGGGTTTGGTGTTTAGGGTTTAGGGTTTAGGGAACACAGGAGCCCCTTCCGTCCTTTAAGGACTCTAGCATTGAGCCTCTGCCCACCAATGCAAGACTCGACTATGAAGCAATTGTTATAGGGGCCTGTCAATTAGAACGTGTATGAACAATGTTGGGTAGCCCGCATTTTCCTTAAATAGGGGGAAGAAGGGAACAAATATGATTCCTTATAGCCCTTGATCGCTTCGATGTCTCCCCTTCTACCCTTCCCCGATGAACCTGAATCCCAAACCCTAAACCCCAATCAGAGTTGCGGGGGGGGGGGGGTAAGGGGGGGGTGGGGGTAGGGGAGGGGGGGGTAGGGGTGGGGTAGGGGTGGGGGTAGGGGGGGGTGGGGGGGGGGGGGGGGGGGGGGGTAGCGGGGGGGTGGGGGGGGGGGGGGTGGCCCCAAAGAGGGTTTTTTCCAAATGCCGTGTGCGAAAACGCCTATGGTCCATGAGTTTACGCGGTGTGGGTGGCCTGTTCCTCCACAGAAAAGCTGGCGGGCTACCCCCCCTACCCCCCCCCCCGCGTTTTGGGGGTAAGGAGGGAAAGAGGGAGGTTTTCACCTCCTTCCGCCAGCATCATCGGACCCTAAACCCTAAACCCAAAACCCTAAACCCTTAACCCTAACCCCTAACCCCTAACCCCTAAACCCTAAACCCTAAAGCCTAAAGCCTGAACCCTAAACCCTAAACCCTAAACCCTAAACCCCAACCCTAAACCCTAACCCCAAGCTCTACCCCCCCCCCCCCCGCCCTATGAACCGGATCCCACACATCAGCAAGCCGCATCGGAAGGCGCAGCCGTTGCTTACGCCCGCGCAGTGCGCCTTGACGGCAGCCATGAAAGCCTAGGAATCGGTTTAGGGTTTAGGGTTTAGGGTTTAGGGTTTAGGGTTTAGGGTTTAGGGTTCCTGAAGTTTCAGCCCGGACTGACCAGACCCTAGGTTGCCAACCAACCCAAACCCTCAACGCCCAGATCCCTGATGCTCTGAGCCCCTATATGTTTTAGGGTCTATAGGGCACACAGGGCTTCTTATAGGGTTTAGGGTTATCAGGGTTTAGGGTTTGGGGTTAGGGTCTAGCTCGGTTTTGTTTGGAGTGCTATACCTGAATACTTTTTTGGGTCTGGGTTCCAATTGTAGCTACTTTCTACCTAGCAAGTATTTACTTTTTTTCCAGGGTCTATTCCTAAGCAGGGCTAGGGTCTCTAGGGCACATAGGGCTTATAGGGTTTAGGGTTATCAGGGTTTAGGGTTATCAGGGTTTAGGGTTTGGGTTTAGGGTCTAGGGTTTGGTTTTGGGTTTTTAGGGTTCAGGGTGGTTCAAACGGTACAGGGTTTGGGGGCCTTCCCTCTCTCTCTCTCTCGCTTTCTTTTTCGTTCTCTCTTTCTCGCTCTCTCTCTCTCTCCTCTCTCTCTCGCTCTCTGTCTCTGCGCGTTATATATATATATAGATATAGATATTTATCTCTCTTTCTCTCTCTCTCTCTTTTCTCTCTCTTTCCCTCTCTTTCGCTCTTTCTCTGTTTATCCATTTCTCTCTTTCTCTCTTTATCTAGTTCTCTCTTTCTCTCTCTTTCTCTCTCTTTCTCCCTTTTACTCCCTCTTTCTCTCTCTTTCTCCTTCTTTCTCCCTCTTTCTCTCTCTCTCTCTCTTTCTCTCTCTCTCTCCCTCTCTTTCTCCCTCTCTTTTCTCCCTCTTTCTCTCATTCTCTGTATCTG